GCTTTCTTGGAACAATTGCAACTTATTATGCAAGTGATAGGTTAAGTTTAAGGATGACCGTATACTAAGTTATGCAATATGAATTATACACATATATTCATGCATATATTTGAAATTTTTCTTTAGTTTAAAATTAATATAAATAATTAAATTGTTAGTGATTGGCTTTGTTATAGTCCAGCTGAATAATTCAAAATGTTTTTAGTAATGTGGGTTTGCACATCACAAAGTATTGATCAAGACATGGCAGCTCGATGCATGGAGACAGACTAGGGTTTCAATCAGACCAGAGGAATCGATGTGATGACAGAGCTGAGATATGGTGCTTACTAAACCATACATAATCAAGACAATTCTTGTATTTGAACCCATGATCATCAGATTCTGACTAAATAAGGGACATAACCTGAGAATTCTAGAACAACTCGGAAGCCATCAGTTCCAGAGGCCTTTTGAAAATATATATTGTAGGTTTTGTTTTTGGTTTGGGAGAAATTATTAATCATCTCAACCTTGGGATTCTATACTTGTGAATGTGAAATAATATGTACCCTGGTATTTTATTTCTGATATAGTAATTTTCCTATGATTGAAAATACTTATTATCTCTGACAGTAAATTTATAAAATATTTACTGATGAAGAAATCTAAAACAGAGCAATAGATATAATAATCTTTAAATACTTTACTTCGGAGAGTACAATTATGCATCATTTACCTGATCAGAAATTACGAGACTAACGCTTAGTCTCTGAATATATATAATTTTGAATGTAACAAACAAACCCATATAAATTGAAAAGGAGCACCTGGGAGACCAGAGATTCAGACCTGAGGAAATCTAGACTTGCTTCATTTGATTTAGGGCTTCAGCACTGCAGGGATGGCTAAGCTGTAGGGAAAATAATGTGGTTCAGGGACTGTGAGACAGACTAAGAATTACAGGCATGAGGTGATTTACTGCTGTATTACTTTTGAGATGACCCCTGAACCTGTGATGAATTGTTGTTTAGATGAAGCACTTGTTGCCCTGACAGTAGACGTCAAAGCAGCAGGATTCCTCATAAGTGTATATAAATATGGGCAGAGCACGAACTAGGATTAAAGACTCACATCATTCTTGTTGAAGCTTTTTATGTCTTAGTCTGCCATATATAGCTTGGTATGTCACCGGCTTAATCAGCCATAGTTTGGACAATGAGTTCCAAGGGAGGCGCTTGCAGCTGTTTGCAGACAGGATTTAAACTAATTGTCTGGTGTAGGCCTCAATATGCCGTTGATCATTTCCGAACCATTCTCTTTGCAAGTGTCTTATTTTTAATCCTGCCCCAAATTATTCTGTGACCATAATCCTGACGTATTTACCCCAGATATACGTAAAATATTCATGAAATATGCCTGGCCTACAATGAACATTGAACATTAGAACACAATGTTTTTTATGCTTAAACTGAAAAAGGATCCAAACCATGAAATATATTCTCCATAACAAAGCACAGAATTTAAATTCTAGCATATTTGTTCAAGTCAGAAAACTGTGACAGCTGTAAACAATGGTGACACTTTTTCAAACCAACTGACAACTATGAACATGCAAATGCTTCTACATATGTCTATATTTTATGTAAACAGTTAGTTAATATAAGGTCTAAAAAAGAGCAAAATGATAAAATCTGTTTGATGTTTGTATTTGGTTTATAAGATATGTCCATAACTCTGTCTTTGATGTATATGTTACAACATGTGGCCAAAGTTTGTGTTAGAAAAAAGAAAAGCCCTGAGGTTGCTCAAATAAGTGCTGGTGGGTGTTGGAATCAGGGCCTGTGTTCTGAATAAATATATTGAATAAGACTGTAATGTTTATCCTCGCTATGACTGTGGGAGGGTTTCTGGTGTCCGTCTAGGATATCTGAAACTTAGATATAATGTGTGCCAACACAATGGGGATAAGATTTCTTCAATACAGATTCCTAGTACAAGATAAAAAAAATTACTTGAAAAGTGATTTTAACAAATCATGAAAGAATCTTTCAGAAACCTTTAATCAGTGAGTGAGTAGTTTAGTTTTATGCCGCACTCTGCAATATTCCAGCTGTATGTTGGTGGTCTGTAAATAACCGTGGACCAGACAATCCAGTGATCAACAGCATGAGCATCGATCTGCGCAATTGGGAACCAATGACATGTGTCAACCAAGTCAGCGAGCCTGACCACCCGATCCCATTAGTTGCCTCTTACGACAAGCATGGGTTACTGAAGATTAATTCTAACCCGGATCCTCTTGGGTACTTTAATCAGTAATACTACAAGAGCTAAGAAGACATGACAAACAATGACAGTGATTTGTTCATGTCATTAAATTGAGAAATTGTTAAATTTTTTTAAATTGAAACATATTCAGTTTTTGAAAATATTTAGTCATTATATTTTAGTAACTGAAAGAGTCAGAGATCTAACAAAGTGGTAGGATATTTTAGCTCAGCAATATGGGTTTAGGGACTGGGGACTCTGGCCATTGTTGACAATGTTGGAAAATTAAATATACTATTCACACTTTGCTAAGGATCAAATCACGGATTCAACAGAAAACTATGATGTGGGGGTCAAATTGGATTTAAATATCTAAGCTTATTGAAAGCATGGATCCTAGGTTTCAGAGTACCATTTCATCTTGTGGATCCCATACCTGCTGTTGATATATATATATATATATGAGAATATCAAACATGTCCGAAACAGTATATTCAAACATGGTTTATCTTCTTTGTTTTGTTGCAAGGTTAAAAAATAAATATGCTATAATTAGGTGATTCTGTCCTCTTGCATCAACCAGACTCCATTGGAAAGTCATACATTACATCAAAATAATGTCAAAATGTTAAAATGTTTTATTTCTACTTTATGTGACCTTTGACCAATATGTGACCTGTGGTGATAGATGAATTAATTAACTGTTTGAATGTCATGGAATTTTTGTGTGAATTTTCGTTAAAAAAAGTCTTGTCTTCACTGCTGCATATCGATAGAGGTTTGAAGGGACATAACTCTTGTAGGCTTACAAACTATGTTTTTAGGGACTTGTTATTTCAAATAATACCACTGTTTAGGATATATCTATAGGTCCTGCTGTCCATTCATAGAGAAGCAGTAGCATATTCTAAATAAGAAATTTATAAAAAGAAATTTTCGTGATAACGATAGTTGAATTCTCCAAGCGAGTTGGATTTAAATGTCAAAGATCACAAACTGTCAGGGTCTTCCATACTACTCATGGGACAGGATGGATTCATACTTACCTTGAACTTGAACTGTTTCACATGCACTGGCTACACTGATGTTTCAGCCTTATGCATGTAGATCCTGGTCTCAGACATTAACCACTTTGTTGAAAACTGTGGCCATGGGTAGGCTGTTGACAAACCGAGAAATACAATCGCAGTGGCTGCTGATTTGAACCCAAAGTCATAGGTCTATGGCATGTACAAGAGAGCCAAAAGCAACTTTAGTTATGTCAGATGGCTAGCTAGGTCATCTGCCCTCCTATTTTATTTTAAATCTGAAACTGATGCACTGTGACGTATGTTTTTCTTTGTGTGTGCAAGTGTCCTTATTTTGCTTGTTATGAGACACGCACATACAGTAAACTATGATTATAATGAACAGATACATATGATGAACTGTTTGTATTTTTGTCCTTTTGCTGTATATTTTAGTTAAATGCGTGTAACAATGTATGGTTATAATGAAAATTATATAATTAGTGTTCCCTTTGAGTTGGTTACAGTTGTAGTTTACAAAGTGCTTTATGTTACAGTTGTAGTTTATGGAGCGTTTTATGTTACAGTTGTAGTTTACAGAGTGCTTTATGTTACAGTTGTAGTTTACGGAGTGCTTTATGTTACAGTTGTAGTTTACGGAGTGCTTTATGTTACAGTTGTAGTTCATACAGTGCTTTATGTTACAGTTGCTTTATGTTACAGTTGTAGTTTACAGTGCTTTATGTGTTGTAGTTTATGGAGTGTTTTATGTTACAGTTGTAGTTTCACGGAGTGCTTTATGTTACAGTTGTTTAGTTTACAGTTTAGGAGTGTTTTATGTTACAGTTTTATGTTACAGTTTACGGAGTGTAGTTTGTACGGAGTGCTTTATGTTACAGTTGTAGTTTACGGAGTGTTTTATGTTACAGTTGTAGTTTACGGAGTGCTTTATGTTACAGTTGTAGTTTACGGAGTGCTTTATGTTACAGTTGTAGTTTACAGAGTGCTTTATGTTACAGTTGTAGTTTACGGAGTGCTTTATGTTACAGTTGTAGTTTACGGAGTGCTTTATGTTACAGTTTAGTGTTTTATGTTACAGTTGTAGTTTACGCTTTATGTTACAGTTGTAGTTTACTTTTTATGTTACAGTTGTAGTTTACGGAGTGCTTTATGTTACAGTTGTAGTTTACAGAGTGCTTTATGTTACAGTTGTAGTTTACAGAGTGCTTTATGTTACAGTTGTAGTTTACACAGAGTAGCTTTATGTTACAGTTACAGTTGTAGTTTAGAGTGCTTTATGTTTATTTATTACAGTTGTAGTTTACAGAGTGCTTTATGTTACAGTTGTAGTTTACAGAGTGCTTTATGTTATGTTACAGTTTATGCTACATGTTGTAGTTGTTAGTTTACAGAGTGCTTTATGTTACAGTTGTAGTTTACAGAGTTACAGTTGTAGTTTTAAGAGTGCTTTATGTTACAGTTGCTTTATGTTACAGTTGTAGTTTACGGAGTGCTTTATGTTACAGTTGTAGTTTACGGAGTGCTTTATGTTACAGTTGTAGTTTACGGAGTGCTTTATGTTACAGTTGTAGTTTACAGAGTGCTTTATGTTACAGTTAGTAGTTACAGTTGTAGTTTACGGAGTGCTTTATGTTTAAGTTGTAGTTTACGGAGTGCTTTATGTTTTGAAGTATGACAGTACAGTTGCTGATAGTTATCATCGGCCATCCTATTCCTCCACAGCACTGACCACTGCCCTGCCATGAGGTATTGATCAGGCACATGGTGACCCTGGCACAGGTTCATTTCATCATGCTTGGAGATCCTTGCTTTTCAATATGCATTTAGCCTTTCACTTCCTGGTTGAACAAGACTGGCGGAATGTCAGTGCGTAGATGTGTTGAGGGACGTACGATGTATGTGTGCTTTACAGGTAATCAAGGTTTCTGTTCTTTTAACTCTTTTGTCATTATTATACGTTTTGAAAACTGAAATGACACATTTGTTGATCTGAATATGTGGCAGTATATATTCAATCTGTCAGTACTACAATCTGTCCATGTGAATCTATTAGTCAATTCTTGGAAACTCAAACCATGGAAATTGCTAGAAATTTTCCTGTTTGTTAAGCCAGTATTTCCTTAATGATATCCAAATTGCGTTCTTTGTCTATTTCTTTGAAATATAGGTCCAGTGTTAGAACATTTGTACAAATCTTTAATAAATTTCTAGAATAATTAGACTTCTGGGCATTTTTGGATGTAAAATGTCAAAATGGGGAGATTCAAATATGCATAATAAATATGAGGGCAGCTGTTACTGTTGGTACCATGGCACCGATGATAATGGTGCCTATGACACATTGCTGATAATATTTATTACACAATAGTCCATAGACCTCTAAAGCAAATAGAACCTCAGCTGTATTTGTTTTGACATACATGCTGGCAATGGTTACTGAAATTTTGGTATTATCATAGTGTTATATTTTCAGATTCTCGTAACCTGAAACATGTTTCATTACTGTTGATGATTTAAAGTGTACAAAGATTGCAAATGTTTTCCAATGCTCTTAAAGTTTTAATCTTTGCAATTCTGTCAAATTATTTTGTGAAATTTAATTTTATCTTTGTAATTTTATGTTCATTGCACAAGTCTTTCAAGAAATGTCAGGATATTTTCATTTCGAATCTTTGTAATAGTAGCTCTGAAATCATTCTTAAAGTTGAGACCATGTGATGTATTTTTAAACTTCTCCCCTGAATGATGTCTGTTCAAACATCTTCTCTCCATGAAGGACGTAAGTCAACATACGCTCCACCCATGGAGAATGTCAATAAAACATGTACTGAAGAGCTAGTTCATGACCTGATGGCAGTATTTACATATCTGTGATCTCACACAGGATAAAATGGTTGGTTATATACTTACAAAGGCCACAGCAAATTAAGTCATATTCAGCTAATTGTTTGTGGCACAGTGATGATTTGATGTACTTTTAATGTTTAGGTGACAACCTTACATGAAGGAAATATATTGTAGAATACAGTATTTCTCTGTTTACTGTAGGCATGTTATTTTGTCCCAGGCTGCAGTTGAAAATGCATTTTTAGGACTGACAACCATGGTTTAGCAAGTTAAGCTTTTGTCTTCAAATTATGAATTTAGATAAATATAGTTTGAATTCTCTAGTGTTAGCACAGTGGAAGCATTTCGGTGTAGATGCACTACAACTCCATGGCAGTGTTGGTACATTTGTAGATGAAATGTTGCAGCATTTTGATTAATTCAGTTGTTATCCGTACAGGTGTGTATGCAGGTGTTTGTTATCATGCTGTATGTATTGTACAAACGAAACACCCTTAGTGATGGTGCCATACCATTGTTTCATGTCGTGAGTTCACCCATTTATCTTCCCAGGAAGAGGCCATGAAACACTATGATTTGTCACATGCACGTTCATATCAATAACTGGATATTATTCAATAATACAGCTTACTAGATTTCTGTAATGATACATTTTACCGAGCTCTTACACATATACTCAACGAAACAAGTTTGAGACGATTGTCTTTGGAGTATTTTTATGAATTTGTGTGTTGATTCTTTTGTCACTGCAAAATAATGTTCCCCTAAATTGTCATTGTCACTTTTAATTTTTTGTTTAGTATATCTTGGAAGTTGGAGTTAACTGATGAAAAGTTGTTTCACACTTATTGTATATTCCTATAGGAAGTAGTGTTGTACTAGTGATTGTCTTACAGTTTTACGTGATCGTTACCAAATCGATACTTGTTTTGTATTGATACATGATGCGTTAATATCATGATGTTGAAGAGTATCGAGATGCATCAAATATTGAGAGATTTATCATATTCTAGTTTTCCATGCAAAGAGATATGAATATTGAAAAAAATGTGTCCTTTTCATTATACCTGACTGTTGAACATAGAGATTTTTTCTGGGTTACATCTTCTTTTTATTAAAAGAAGATGTAACCCAGAAAAAATCTCTATGTTCATCAAATATCATCTTCTAAAATGCCAATCAAGCACCTGACTGTTGTCATAACATTTTATTTACATGTAAGAAGAAGATATATTATTATCCCCCAACCATCCCCAGGCAATTGACCCACCCAAAGAGGAGTTTGAGATATAGAAATGTAGTTGATTCGTGTTTCTGTCTCTCCATCCTTTTGCTTGTCAAAATGTCAAAATTCATGATATTTTATTTTGTCTTACCCAAAAAAATCTAACAATTCAGGGTACAGATGTGTACTTATGAAACACATTGAGACACTAGAATATACAAGGTTTTACACCATTAATTTCCAATGAAATGAACACTCTCTGTAATAACAATAATTTGTGAACATAGTTCCAGAAAAGTATTTTAGTTCCACATAAAATGTACATTATTAAAAGAAGAATGGTTGAGGCAAATTTGAAGTTGTTTGATTACCACACAGTTTAAGTCTTCTGAAAATGCTGTGTAGATATAGATGGGGCGGTGGGGTAGCCTAGTGGTTAAGGTGTTCGCTTGTCACGCCGAAGAAACGGGTTCGATTCCCCACATGGGTACAATGTGTTAAGCCCATTTCTGGTGTCTCCCGCCCGTGATATTGCTGGAATATTGCTAAAAGCAGCGTAAAACCAAACTCACTCACTCACTGTGTAGATATATTCTGAGGGAAACAAATAAGGGAACACCACTTCATGGCAGTGTTCCTTTATTTATTCTCAGATTTCATCAACTGGAAAATGTTAAAGAACACTTGAATTTTCCTGTGTTCCTTTATTTGTTTCTCTCAGTATATATTGTATATATTTCCTATCATATCACGATTACCATCATTTGATTACGGTGCATTTAGGTTGTAAATAATGATATGTATGCCATGAGACACAGCACAATTGCAATAAACAATCTGTTGTGTTGGTCTGCCATTCCAGGGGTATATGATGTGTATCAACCTGGATGTCAGTGATTATATATTTACACGGAGACAAATGTCTTTAAGTAAATACATCAGAAATACATCACAATCGTACATGGATACGACGTTTTAGATGTACCATGTGACGTGTATCAAGTTTATCAAGTCTGTAAAAGAAGTGAGCAAACTTGTCAGAAATTTTTTAAACAAGTGTTTATGCACTTTTTCCAGTAAATAATACCTCCAAATTTAAATTCAACAGTTAAATGTGTCTGGTGCATGTTTAACACAGCGTTGATCCTGTTTGTGTACATCTTTTATGAGTGAACGTCCTGGTTGTAAACCAGTGACCCGTAGTGTAGTCACATGAGTGAGTGAATGGCTTGTTAAGGGGAACCCCCTGTTTATGGTTGTGTAACCTTGTTGGTGGGTAACTTCTGGGTTTCCCACAACTCCGCCTTCTTCAACACTGATTGTGTGTGTATCCGGTTTGCTGTAAGTGTTGATCTCACAGTGAGGACATGTAAAGTTATGACATTGGTGACAGAACACTGACCCAGGATAGATTTCAACGACTGAATGTTGATGGATTATGGTAATAATATATCAGAGGTGTCCACAAAACGGATATATCAGCGAGACAAGGTGTCCACAAAACGGATATATCAGCGAGACAAAGTGGTGTTTTATCCCGATTTTATCATGTGATCACAAATTTACGCTAAGGATGTCCCTGTTGCAGATGATGTGTGCTGAGTCACAATGATAAGTAATTTTGTTACTTAATGACCAATCAGCTGATAAAGGCCAAAAATGTAAGTGAGGTTTGTATGTCCTAGAATGTGAACCCTCAGAACAATGTCGTGGTACTTTAGATTTCAAGTTTTATTTCTAATCTTAGGAGAAAAACTCATTTAAAAGAAATAATTAATTCAGAAGTTTTTATGTTTTCAGGTTTGAGAGTGTTGGTGATAATTTAGTGCATGGAATGGTATCATTTATAATTATATCAACATTCATTAATTTTCCTAACCAAATATTTTTGTGGTATTGTGATTTTGAAATCATGTACAGTCAAACAGTGTTGAACATTGATGTGTTGAACTTGCAGTAGCCTCGAAATAGAACCTTGGTCCTGTGTATATATGCAGTGTGTCAGTGTAGAAGCTATGTCGTCAAGCAAGTGATGTACCGTATTGTAGGTAAAGCATTTATATACATGAGTAAAGTGATGTTTATACAGTTTATGTACACATTGATAATGTGAATTGAATTTCTAAATTACTTTCAAAGAAATCATGAAATATGTCATCTACTGCTTTTCACAACCTGTTCATCCACCTGGAATATTTTCTAGACCAGATTTGTTTTATTTCCTGGTTAATGCATGACATTCCTGGTCATTGCAGGAGAAGGAAATACTTCATTAAAAATTGTAATAGCTCTGAAAATGTTTGTCATTTACCATGTGTCTGATTTTCTTTAGACCTGTTTCACTGACCTTTCAGATTTTGACAGGAGTGTTATGGATAACAAGTATTTTATTGTACGTACTCTATAACTACATTCAAGTGAAGTAAGAGTTGTCATTTACTCATTTGATTGGGCTGGAGTTGATGGCCGTTACATGGTAATGTTGTATACCAGGGCCAATAACTGTGTTTATACAATGAATCAAAGAGTTGATTCAAATCTCAATTAATTGTCCTGATGACTGGTGGTGACAACTTTCTGATCATGACTGAGTGATGGCAGTTGAAATTCTTTGATGCTCATGTTGTTTTCTTATCACACTTCGTTTTAAAAAAAGGGGCGATGGTTAAAAACGTCCGCTCGTCATGCTGAAGACCCGGGTTCGATTCCACACCTGGGTACAATGTGTGAGGTCTGGTGTCCCTTGCCATAATATTGCTGGAAACTGCTAAAAGCAGCGTAAAACTATGCTCACTTACTCATTTAGAAAAATGATTATCTTAGAATTGTGTCCATGAATCAATCTTTGAACAAAGATATTAACCATCAACACAGAAGCTGTCCTGTATTCTCAAGGTGCTGTTAGCACTATGACTGCCATAACTTCTCCCATGCTTCAACCTCGGCTCATCACACTTGATCTGATCACTTTCTGGAATAGTGCCCTGGTGTTTGTTCTCCCAGCACATACAGACCAGTGCCAGTTATATTCGGACACTTGACGTAATTTCCATAGAATTACATGTTAATTTAGTGTAGCATAAATATCTTTTAAGGATGTAATTTTCGTAACGTCCAAGTCAAATTTTGCACATTTGTGAGGAATCATCTTACCTACATCTACCTGTCTGTTTAATTTTCCGTTGCTTATTTATCGAATGGCAACAATTTAATCAAAATATGTACAGTGCCGAGAACTCCTTTAACATGGTGGCCTATGGGATTGTGCATTGTGGAACCATACGTAGGTCGATAAATGTGATGTCATTTGTTAAATAGTGGTCAGAAAACTGAACTGAAATTATGTGTGCAGAGCAGAGATGATTTCACATTTGCCTGTCAAATTTTACAAAGATCCATCTTAAATTCACTTAATGAAAATTATTTATGCTACACTGAAATAACATGTAAGTCTATGGAAATTACGTCAAGTGTCCCAATATAACTGGCACTGGTCTGTATGTGCTGGCTTGTCTGGCATTGTGTTTCCCTGTCTAATCATCTTCTTGTTTTTGTAGGGGCAGCACTGTACAAGGAATTTGGAAATGAGAACCTGTTAAACCCTTGAGAGTTTCTCATCTACACTCATAGACAAACAACGAAGATGTCATCATGTCCGATCTCATCAGTGCTGCCAAAAATGGTTACCATGAAAACGTGGAGAAACTGCTGACCTTGGGATTGTCTACTGAAGTCCTTGACAAGGACGACGCTACAGCACTTTACTGGGGGGCTTGTCGGGGCTATTGGAAGATCTGTGAAACGCTACTGAAGTCTAGGTGTAGAATTAATGCACAGGTCAAGTGGGGGTCATCTGCCCTTCATGCTGCCGCAGACAGAGGTCATCTGAACTGTGTCAACATACTGGTCACCTGGTCAGTTGAAATAATATATTGGTCATCAGTTTGATTGTCTGTAAACCAGTCTCATGACACTTTATTGTGAAATATGGTATGTGGTTTGAAATCATTATTGTAGTCAAGTCGTTAAAGTGTTTGTTCATCAAGATCTGGATTTCATTTCCCACATGGGTACAATAAGTGAAGAACATTCTTAGTGCCTGTTGCAGTTACATGGTTGGATTAATGGTTAAATTGGTGTAAAAAGAACAACTCACTCACACAGTTAAAATGCAAGCAAACAAGGGGTAACAGGATGCGACCTTGGTAAAAATATGGGTCCAGATTGGATATCAAAACACACAAGTCTCGTATCGGTCCAATGGATTTTCTACCTGTTTCAAAGCAATATTATTATCAGGCCAGAATCAAATGACAACCCGCACAAACTGGATCATCTTGGGAGAAGGCCAATAAAACTCAGGGTAGTAAAGTCAAGTCACCACATAAGTATTGATATATGAAGGTGATAGTTAGTGCTGCATGCCTTGATATAGCTGGAAGTTTGCCAACAGTGTGTAAAACCACACCCACCAAAGATATCAGCTGAGAACAACCAAACTATGGAAAATGTAAACACAATGTGAAATAGAAGTAACGACTCAAGTGTAAAAACAAGCCACATTATCCACAAAATATGCATCATAATGATAATAACCACAGCACATCTTCAGTGGAGATCACAAAAAAACCCAATACACTTGATTTTCTGTGTTTGGTTTCCGTTGAACAGAAAGGCATGGTACTATGATGCATCCTCACAAATTAATTGATTTCAATTTTTCACCACCAGGGGTGCCAATCTGAATCTACAAAACAACCGAGGAGACACCCCACTTCATCTTGCGGCATATAGGGGCTTTGCGGACATTGTTGATGCCTTCATTGCTGCAGCAGCTGACCCCTTTGTTCGGAACGAATCTTGTAAAACTCCACTGCAGGAAGCAGAGAGCCAGTGCCATACCATGGCTGCCTCCAGGCTTGAACAGTACATGGCCAGTGAGTGATTTCATACACACTTGTTAATGTAGACCCCTGTAGTCCAGAAACCCTGCTTTACAGACCATGGTATTTGGATTAATTGAAACTTATGTAACTATATGTTAACTTGGACATGTCTTAGTGGTTAAAGCGCCGTTCTTCATGAGGTACGGTTCCCCACACAGGAACAATGTTCCCAGCCGTGATTGAGGCATGAGCTTGGAGGTGGTTTCTGCAATTTAAAATTTCTTTGATTCATAATTTATTTAAAAATTTGACATTATGATTCATGAAACTCTCTCTTGGCCTCATAAGCATGGAAGTTCAAATTGGTAAGCTACAGATGTCACTCAAGGGATATCTTGAGTAGAATCTCAAGGATTCCCTACAAGTCTGCTGTAAGCTCTGAATGACCAGGGTCACACACTCTTTGTTACAGGTCGACAGACATTCAGTTCACTGCCAACCTCAGGCCCTAACTCCGACTTCGTGAACATGCAGCAATCTATGGCACCAACATCATGGCCAAAGACCAAAGATCTCTCCTTCATCCCCAACATTAGGGAGAGTACAGCTTCAGAAACATCTAAGCTTTCAAACAATTTATCCAATTCCCATAATGCTACCCAAAGTCTGAAGCCAGTTTGTCAGGTGCCGCCATCTGTTGGCAACAGTAGCCCGAATGTCTGTGGAAGCTCAAGAAAACACTGATGCTTCCAACCTCACACAACCATTAAATACCATTGATGGAAGATGGCAGAAGGAGCCCAACAGAAGCCGTCTGCTCCAGACACCTTACCATGACTATCATGAGACGCCAGAAGCACCAAGGGCTGCTCCCAAGATGGCAGTAAACAGAAGTAAAAGCAGCCATGAGGACAGATGTGCTCTTGAAAACTTTGCTGAATCTTTGCAGGTGAGGAACTTCTTTCTTGCATGATGTCCTCAAATAAGGAAGGGCACTGAAATAGTGTTATTTTGTAGTTTTGTTCTATACATATTCTTATAAACATCCATAAATAATCATGACATAAAGTCATCATGAGCTATGCAAAACGTCCCTTCAAATCATCAAGCATATTTTTATAATATACTGAAGGAAACAAATAAGGGAACACCACTTCATGGCACTGTTCCTTTATTTTATTCTCGGATTTCCTCCAACAGCGCTATTCAAAGCTTGTGATGAAACTGGAAAAAAATAAAGGAACACTTGAATTTTCCTGTGTTCCTATATTTGCTTCTCTCAGTATATTATGTTTAAAATAGCCCCCAAATTAAGAATAATCACTTTCATTTTGAAACAGCAATACTGATAAGACGACTGTCTACTCCTATATTACAGTCATAAACAAATCAAGAAGAAAATGTTTGTTATTATACGTGGCATGTAATATTGTATCCATATGTATGTGCAGTGAAAGGCATTATTAGTTTCAAAACTGTGGCCGTGGTTGTTGTTGAACTTATCCATAGAATCCATAGATTGATCTGGGTTTTTCAGATTTGATCAACTGAAGTATAAAAGATACAGCTGTTCCATGTTGAATTATAACAATATATTATGCAAAAATATATGCAATGGAAAAAGAAATTCAAGAAATAATATTCACATTTATTGTAAAGATAGTCACTGACCACTGGATCACTTAGGAAAGAGGACATTATTTTACAGTGCTATTTTATCATTTTTATAATTTTGAAATTGCCTAAGAATTAAGAGGAAGTTTATTAATTATTTCTGAATCAGTTGGTAACATCAGTCAAAATGTAACCTCGTTTGGAAAGACCAAAATTTGAAAACAAAAGAACCGATGCTGTCTTCCCATGTGTGACAATTATAAGCCTATTCTTCTGTTTTCAGCTGGAGGTTGTGAAGTACAGTGAACGGGTTCTCAAGGCGGAGCAGAGCAATGTTCTCTGGCAGAACAAGGTCAAAGACCTGGAGAAGCTGAACAGGGAGTTACTACGACAATACGAACAGAAGTCAAGAGACTTGCACAGTGTGCAGGAAATGCTGGCTACAGAAAGAAGAAAAAACTTTGAGGTTGTGAAACAGCAGAAGCTGATCGCCCGGAGCATGTCTGCCTCCATGGACGTGGTGAGGATGGAGAATGGCAGGAACTCTAGGGAAGGTTGTCCACAGAGAGATGCCACCCATAAACATTTGCTGACATTTGTGAAAACACTAGATAACAGTGATATGTGCAATAGCAGACTGGTGCTGGACAGTCTCAGGGAGCACCTGCAGGCCGTGTGGTTGCAGCCTGCCAGCGTGTCAAGGATGGACTCCAATGTGGAGTGGGTGCCAGGTTTGGACTATGACATCGTTGGTGACGGACCACTTAACCATGTCAAAGATGGTGTACGAAATGGCTCGTGCTCGCTTGTCTTTCAGATTAGGAGAAATGGTTCCTTGTACATTCTCAAAGTAAGTTCCTCAGCTTGGGTGTTAATCATAGTTGTACACAATGATTGGTTGGAGACAAAGACTATTTGGCTGAAACATATCATGGGCATGTAGCCCTGTAGGAAGATGATCACTATGTATAGCCCTGTAGGAAGGTGACCAGTGTATATAACCCTGTAGGAAGGTGACCAGCGTATATAGCCCTCTAGGAAGGTGACCAGTGTATATAGCCCTGTAGGAAGATGATCACTATGTATAGCCCTGTAGGAAGGTGACCAGTGTATATAGCCCTGTAGGAAGGTCACCAGTATATATAGCCCTGTAGGAAGGTAACCAGTGTATATAGCCCGGTAGGAATTTGACAAGTATGTATAGCCCTGTAGGAAGGTCACCAGTATATATAGCCCTGTAGGAAGGTGACCAGTGTATATAGCCCGGTAGGAAGGTAACCAGTATATATAGCCCTGTAGGAAGGTGACCAGTGTATATAACCCTGTAGGAATTTGACAAGTATGTATAGCCCTGTAGGAAGGTCACCAGTATATATAGCCCTGTAGGAAGGTGACCAGTGTATATAGCCCGGTAGGAAGGTAACCAGTATATATAGCCCTGTAGGAAGGTGACCAGTGTATATAACCCTGTAGGAATTTGACAAGTATGTATAGCCCTGTAGAAAGGTCACCAGTATATATAGCCCTGTAGGAAGGTGACCGGTATATATAGCCCTGTAGGAAGGTCACCAGTATATATAGCCCTGTAGGAAGGTCACCAGTATATATAGCCCTGTAGGAAGGTGATATCACCTCAGAAGTTCCTTCTTCATTGTTGGTACATGTTTTTTATAGAAAACTGAATTTACATTTCTTGGACACAAAAGATTTATCTGATTCGGATGTTAGTTTCCTCGTCTTAACTCAGAAGTATTCAGTCGGGTAGTCAAGCAGGTTAACACAACCACCTGGTGTCAGATCCCCCTATTGTTATGTACTGTTGCTAATCTTGATGTCCCCACCATGCTATGGCTGTAATACAAGGGGTGTAAAACCCAACCCACTCACTCATTCAATGTGTCATCATGAGCTACAGCCAGTGTATCTACCAAAACTGGACTCTTACCTTCAGAGTTGTTCTAAAATTTGTGCTTTGGTTGTTTTGTGAACCAAGTTTTGACTTCCAAATCAGATGAGATTGATTGTCACGCCAAAAGGATTTCATTTTCCATCCCTAGCATCTGCATCCATGGCACAGAGCGATGATGACCTCTGGTGTGTAAAAGGATCATCTCTGATTGGTCACCCAAATGTAAACATATACCCACAGAATTTCCTTTTTGTATGCAATGTCATAAAAAACTATTCCATCTTTGCCATTGTTGTATTTCAGATGATGATTAACCTTATAAACCTAGACTACACCAATCATGATCAGGGCTGCAGCCTAGACGGGTATTTAATCCGGAACTTTGGACCTGAGTACCATGTACCTCTGTTCCTCTCCAAACATCGGAATATTGTCAGCGTCATGCATTACTATCAAGGCTCCACCGACCAGTTCCGCAGGTATCAGGACCTTCTCGTTCCCTCCAGTCTGGATGTCCCTCTGGAAATGGCAACACGTACCTCGTTCCTAGTTTTAGAAAGCTACCCCCAGACCCTCTTGTCTTTCATGGTCAACCAGCGGACGATATGTCCCGAACCGTGCTATGGTTTGCCCAATGTCTTCCTCCTCCTTCTGTTGTACCAGATGCTGTCTGTACTTGACTTCCTGCAGTGCAACCATATCGTGCACAGAGACATCAAGGGAGATAATGTGTTCCTGGACAAGTGTTTGCGGCCAGTGCTGGCTGATTTTGGATTTGCACGATCCTTGTACACACCTCAGGGCCAGAAGCAGATGTTTGTGAATAAGACCCAAGCTTGTGCAGGAAACTCAAATGCCTGGGCCCCCGAGCTGACGCGCTCACATCATAATGGTCCAGAGTCCTTGCCCCATCTGGTATGTCTGGAAAATGTTTGACTTTTCTGTTTCAGTAATTTGGACAACACTGAAAGTGCATGCATTAATCTAACTGGTTAAAAAACACAGGGTTCAAATCCTTTTTATCATTGGTTATATTTCAGTCTCAGCATTTGGTATGATAATATGAGTAGAATATTTTTAATATATTGAGTCCTAATATTTACAAACCCAGCTATAAATAAAGTCATGCTGGCTCATGGATATATGTCTTTTTAGACAACCTTTAAGCATGTATTTTTCTCTATCTTTGTGAGTTGTAATGTATAGTTTAATAACAGACATGCGAGTTGCCTGCTTTACCAAGTGAAATAATCTACATTCCAAGATATCATTCTCGGCCTAATTCTAGATACACAATATGTGGTATCTAACCGATGAACCTGAAATCAATTCTCTTTGTTTTAGATGTAAGCAAGTGTTGGAAAAGGTGTACTTCATAGTCTGTTAAATATACATGCTCATAGTTTAATATAACTAAGCCTAGTAAATAATTAGTGAAATAACTGGTGATTAAATTACAGGAAATAGACTCTCTTCGTCTAACTTACTTTAGTAATAAAACAGATTTTTTTTACTGTCACCAGTTGATGCTGAACCGCACACAAATTGGCACTATGTGCTTGAGTTCTACAAACTTCAAAGCATTGTATTAAAAATCAACAGAAGACAAACATGTTATTGCAACTATGGAGATAGGTATGTGCTGATGACGTACTTGATTCAAGGTCACATTATAGACGAGTGAAGGTCATCTTATATGTGGGGTTGCTTTATAGACAGTGATGTACAGAGTCTTTCATTAAGAAATATAATATACTTCCTGAATGGTTTCTCATTGTCCCTAGTTCCCTGTTACGCACAGATAATGACGCCATTGTGCTTCCACCTGTATAAGTTGAGATGCAGGTGCTGACCTTGACTGCGTCACTGAACACTGATCTTCTGTATGTCTTGCAAAACAGGCAGTGTTTGGAGTAACTTAAGATGTGATAATGTCTGAACTTACAATCATCCACTGTAGGGAGATTATGTAAGGAGGCTCTAATAGATAAATAATATAGGTAATTTTTATACAAGATGTAGAAGTTGATACTTAGTATTGAAAAGATGAAAATTGTGTGCATTTTGGATGACTTTAAATATGAAATAACTTCTTAATGTACTCAAAGGTACTAGCGAGTATAAAGTTACTGATGATTATGAGGAAATGGACCATATGACATAACAGACTGACCAATCTTCTGTGTCCACAACAAGATAGACGAGGACAGCTTTATGTTGGTTTCAACATTACTTTTCTTGTGTTCATCTCATGTGGGAATTACCATAACCAAACAATAAATAAATATGAAACTTCTTTTTTTTTCAATCGGAAACTCAATATAAGCCTGAACATTTTAGCAATACTGAGAAAGTCATATGGAGGGTCAGCAGTATATATGTACCGGTACTTGTAAGTGGAAGGATATTACATTACATGTACATGAACTAGATATCTGTAATGACTCATTCTGCTCAAGTCTCAGTGCGTAAATGTCATAGCTGCATCAGCAGAAGCTGGTCCCTTGCTGGACAACTAAACTACAAGCGTGGAAGAAAATTAATTTACTGATATTTTCACAGTACATCCTAAATATGTATCAAAAACACAAGACAGGTCCAGACTTGAACTATACTGTTATGAAATAAATTTTGAAAGCTTTAACTCTTCCTCAAAACACACTATTTTATGTCAAATGTTGAAACATTTTCAGAACACTGGAATTAGAATGAACCTGATTCTGGCTTACATGTTAGCTTTGAAGCTATAACTAACAGAACCTTTAATGCTCAGTTTTAGTTTTACAGTATTGAATTGGAAATATAGAGTAAATGTGAATTGTAAGAAATATGACTCTTCCAAAACTTCCCCAGTGTTGTAAATTAATGCCTGCATTCCCAAATTGAGACATAAACAATTTGATTCAACTATCATTCCATGCTATAAATCTGTGAGTGATGACCTTGTGTATACTTTGGCAGACCTCCCTGCAAGAAGTTTACGCCAAAACTGATGGTTTTGCTGTGAGTCGGATGTTCTACAGCTTGCTGCGCCCTCTAGGGGATAGAGACGACTTCCCTCAGTCATCAGTGAACAAGCCACACTATTTTGACTCTGCTATCCCTGACTTGCCAGTGGGTTTCTCCCATGGCCTGTGTGATGTACTCAAACAATTGGTGCTAGATAACCCACAACACAGGCCAACAGCCAGGAAGGCCATGATCAGGTAGGAACTTTGATTGAGATCCTGTATCAAGATGTATCAGATAATTCAATTTCACAAATTTTCATTAGATAATGTCCAGATATCAGGAAGACCATGATCAGATATGATGCAATAGCAATAGGTCCACCACTGTTACATTCTGTATCCAGAAGGCCTCTATCAGATAAAATTATAAACAATAGCAGAAAGGTCATTATCAGATAAAATGATAATAAATGTCAGGAAGGTCACTTTCATTTAAAATGACAAACAATGTCAGGAAAGCAACTATCAGATAAAATGACAAACAATGTCAGGAAGGTCTCTATCAGATAAAATGACAAACAATGTCAGGAAGGTCTCTATCAGATAAAATGACAAACAATGTCAGGAAAGCAACTATCAGATAAAATGACAAACAATGTCAGGAAAGCAACTATCAGATAAAATGAGAATGTCAGGAAGGTCTCTATCAGATAAAATGACAAACAATGTCAGGAAGGTCTTTTTCAGATAAAATGACAAACAATGTCAGGAAGATGCTTGATTGGCATTTTAGAAGATGATATTTGATGAACATAGAGATTTTTTCTGGGTTACATCTTCCTTTTTATTCTCGAGTACGAGAATAAAAGAAGATGTAACCCAGAAAAAATCTCTATGTTCATCAATATCAGAAAGGTCATTTTCAGATAAAATGACAAACAATGTCAGGAAGGTCATTTTCAGATAAAATGACAAGCAATATCAGGAAGGTCATTATCAGATAAAATGATAATATATGTCAGGAAGGTCACTTTCATTTAAAATGACAAACAATGTCAGGAAAGCAACTATCAGATAAAATGACAAACAATGTCAGGAAGGTCTTTTTTCAGATAAAATGACAAACAATATCAGAAAGGTCATTTTCAGATAAAATGACAAACAATGTCAGGAAGGTCATTTTCAGATAAAATGACAAACAATGTCAGGAAGGTCTCTAACAGATAAAATGACAAACAATGTCAGGAAGGTCATTATCAGATAAAATGATTATAAATGTCAGGAGGGCCACTTTCATATAAAATGACAAACAATATCATGAAGGTCATTTTCAGATAAAATGGCAAACAGTGTCAGGAAGGTCATTATCAGATAAAATGACAAGCAATATCAGGAAGGTCATTATCAGATAAAATGATTATAAATTTCAGGAAGGTCATTTTCAGATAAAATGACAAACAATATCAGAAAGGTCATTTTCAGATAAAATGACAAACAATGTCAGGAAGGTCATTTTCAGATAAAATGACAAGCAATATCAGGAAGGTCATTATCAGATAAAATGATTATAAATGTCAGGAAGGTCATTTTCATATAAAATGACAAACAATATCATGAAGGTCATTTTCATATAAAATGACAAACAATGTCAGGAAGGTCATTATCAGATAAAATGACAAGCAATATCAGGAAGGTCATTATCAGATAAAATGATTATAAATGTCAGGAGGGCCACTTTCATATAAAATGACAAACAATGTCAGGAAGGTCATTTTCAGATAAAATGACAAACAATATCAGAAAGGTCATTTTCAGATAAAATGACAAACAATGTCAGGAAGGTCATTATCAGATAAAATGACAAACAATATCAGGAAGGTCATTATCAGATAAAATGATTATAAATGTCAGGAAGGTCATTATCAGATAAAATGACAAACAATATCAGGAAGGCCTCTATCAGATAAAATGATTATAAATGCCAGGAAGGTCATTTTCAGATAAAATGACAAGCAATATCAGGAAGGTCATTATCAGATAAAATGACAAACAATATCAGATGAGATGAGAAGAAGGCTGTTTTCAGATAATGTGAGATGCAATATACAAAAGGCCGCCATCACATATGATCATATGCAATATGGAGAAATCCAAAATGATAGGAGATAACGTCAGATGCAATATGAAAGGAGGCCATGAACAGATACAAAGATATTTAATAGTAAACATATTTAGAAATAACAGTACTTAGTAAAGATTGCTGTGAATAAAGTTGCTATATTGCTGTGCCAACATGTTTCAGGGTGGGTGTGATGCTGTTTGCCCCTGCTCCAGAGGAGGTTCTGTCCCTGTGTGATGTCCCACCCTATCTGGAAGCTCGGGCCCTCAAACTCCTGGCAGTCAACAGGTCAGTTATAAGCAGAGCCACCAAAGAAGGACACAGTGAAAAACAGTTTGCTTTTGGCCTCACAGTATATGCATGTTTTACAAAATGAGCAGAATGTTTAGAAGTCATTGCAAAAATTGTCACCACATTCATGTTTTTGAAAACGCTACGTTTACAGGTATTCAAAATAAAGCTTAATGTTCGATAGAATGTGATTTTAGAGGTTTTCAGGAATTCTTTGATTTTGATTGAAGTTCAGCCTTGATATGAATAAAGAATGCACAAACATATGGTAAAATATTCATTCTATTTTCTTGCTTTAGCCATGTACTTAAAGATGTCAAAAGCCAAAGTTTAACAAAGAACAAAGAACTAGTTGTCAACCCTTTGAATCATTAGAAAGTCCTCGTGCCAAATTTCAGTTTGTTGTGGCTTTAAAGTGTGACATATTCTGAAGGCCAAAAAGTCTGGTATTATGCTTTGTCTCCACTGACTGAAAGTGAACCAAATAGTCCTCATACATGTCAAGTTAAAACACAAACACAACTATACTGATGGACTTTGTTAAATGTTTACTGTAGTTTCTATGTAGTTCAAGAGAAAGTATAATTATTCCTCTCCTGCTCAAACTACACAATTAAGTTAAGTTTTGACTGAAACTAACAATTCTTTTATATAAAACTAACAATTCTTTTATATACCAAGATGACATTTACACATCAAGTAAGCTTTCATTATGCACAATCATGAAGAACCTGAATGTCAAGATTCAGACCTTTTTCCAACAATTCAGATTGCTAATTGACAAAAACTGAAAAGATTAATAAGATTTTGGAGTTTATTGTTTTGAAAAAACACTCCTTCTTGATGGATACTTATAATTACAGCTAAAATCTGTTTGTTTTGTTTGTAAAGTAACTTTTACTGCATATTAGAACTTTACTTTCTTTTTAGTTTGACTGTAACTTTTCCTAAATCTCAGCTTACAAACTTTCATCCATTCACAAAAAATAACGAATTTATAGGCCACATAACAATCAATTATTACTTTCACTTTTCCACATTAGGTACCGTATTTTAGAACAGAAAAACACCTGTTTTAAATGTAGGCAATTGTCCTAATTAAAGTACATGGTAATTTCAATGATGTTTTTGTTTTTGAAATGTTATATGCTTGCTCAAATTATAAATTATATCAAATTTTGTTTGAAAGAGTTTAGAATTTCATTTCAGACAAAATTAATTGGTAAAAATACAGGGCCTAGATTTTGGAAGCTCTCTTAGAACTAAGATAGTCGGAAGTTAATGTTAATGTATGGCACTTACGACTATCTTAGTGCTAAGAGAGCTTCCAAAATCTAGGCCCAGGGTGGTGCTTATTTTATACATGGATGTGTATATAAAATTTTATTTGGAAATCCTGCCATCAATCATCCATCCACTGTTTGCTGATCTGATCAGTTGATAGTGTTTGCTGATCAGCTGATGATGTTTACTGATCAGTTGATGATGTTTACTGATCGGTTGATGGTGTGCTGATTGGTTGACAGTGTTTACTGATTGGTTGATGGTGTTTACTGATCAGTTGATGGTGTTTACTGATCAGCTGATGATGTTTACTGATCAGTTGATGCTGATTACTGATTGGTTGATGGTGTTTGCTGATCAGTAGATGGTGTTTACTGATTAGTTAATGGTGCTCACTGATTAGTAAATGGTGTTCACTGATCGGTTGATTGTGTTTGCTGATCAGTAGATGGTGTTTACTGATGAGTTGATGGTGTTTACTGATTGGTTGATGGTGTTTACTGATTGGTTGATGGTGTTTACATCTGGTTGATGCTGTTTACTGATCGGTTGATGGTGTTTACTGATCAGTTGATGGTGTTTGCTGATCAGTTGATGGTGTTTACAGATCAGTTGATTGTGTTTACTGATCAGTTGATGTGTTTTCTGATCCGTTGATGGTGTTCACTGATTATTTGATGGTGTTCTCTGATCAGTTGATGGTGTTTACTGATGAGTTGATGGTGTTTACTGATGGGTTGATGGTGTTTACTGATGGGTTGATGGTGTTTACTGATGAGTTGATGGTGTTCACTGATCAGTTGATGGTGTTTACTGATCAGTTGATGGTGTTCACTGATTATTTGATGGTGTTTACTGATGAGTTGATGGTGTTTACTGATGAGTTGATGGTGTTCACTGATCAGTTGATGGTGTTTACTGATGGGTTGATGGTGTTTTTTGATCAGTTGATGGTGTTCACTGATCAGTGGATGGTGTTTACTGATGAGTTGATGATGTTTACTGATGAGTTGATGGTGTTTTTTGATCAGTTGATGGTGTTTTTTGATCAGTTGATGGTGTTTGCTGATCAGTTGATGGTGTTCACTGATTATTTGATGGTGTTCTCTGATCCATTGATGGTGTTTGCTGATCAGTTGATGGTGTTTACTTATCAGTTGATTGTGTTTACTGATCAGTTGATGTTTACTGATCGGTTGATGGTGTTCACTGATCAGTTGATGGTGTTTACTGATCAGTTGATGGTGTTTACTGATGAGTTGATGGTGTTTACTGATCGGTTGATGGTGTTCACTGATCAGTTGATGGTGTTTACTGATGAGTTGATGATGTTTACTGATGAGTTGATGGTGTTTACTGATGAGTTGATGATGTTTACTGATGAGTTGATGATGTTTACTGATGAGTTGATGATGTTTACTTATCAGTTGATGGTGTTTACTGATGAGTTGATGATGTTTACTGATGAGTTGATGGTGTTTTTTGATGGGTTGGTGGTGTTTTTTGATCAGTTGATGGTGTTTACTGATCAGTTGATGGTGTTCACTGATTATTTGATGGTGTTCTCTGATCCATTGATGGTGTTTACTGATGAGTTGATGGTGTTCGATGATCAGTTGATGGTGTTTACTGATGAGTTGATGATGTTTACTGATGGGTTGGTGGTGTTTTTTTATCAGTTGATGGTGTTTACCGATCAGTTGATGGTGTTTTTTGATCAGTTGATGGTGTTTGCTGATTATTTGATGGTGTTCTCTGATCCATTGATGGTGTTTGCTGATCAGTTGATGGTGTTTACTTATCAGTTGATTGTGTTTACTGATCAGTTGATGTTTACTGATCGGTTGATTGTGTTCACTGATCAGTTGATGGTGTTTACTGATCAGTTGATGGTGTTTACTGATGAGTTGATGGTGTTTACTGATTGGTTGATGGTGTTCACTGATCAGTTGATGGTGTTTACTGATCAGTTGATGGTGTTTACTGATCGGTTGATGGTGTTCACTGATCAGTTGATGGTGTTTACTGATGAGTTGGTGATGTTTACTGATGAGTTGATGGTGTTTACTGATGGGTTGGTGGTGTTTTTTGATCAGTTGATGGTGTTTACTGATTATTTGATGGTGTTTGCTGATCAGTTGATGGTGTTTGCTGATCAGTTGATGGTGTTCACTGATTATTTGATGGTGTTTGCTGATCAGTTGATGGTGTTTACTGATGAGTTGATGGTGTTTACTGATCAGTTGATGGTGTTTACTGATGAGTTGATGATGTTTACTGATGAGCTGATCCATTGATGGTGTTTACTGATGGGTTGATGGTGTTTTTGATCAGTTGATGGTGTTGATTTACTGATCAGTTGATGTTTACTGATCAGTTGATGGTGTTTACTGATGAGTTGATTTGATGGTGTTTACTGATCAGTTGATGGTGTTCTACTGATCAGTTGATGGTGATCAGTTTACTGATCAGTTGATGGTGTTTACTGATGAGTTGATGATGTTTATCAGTTGATGTGTTTACTGATCAGTTGATGGTGTTTACTGATGAGATCAGTTGATGGTTGTTGGTGTCACTGATCAGTTGATGGTGTTTACTGATGAGTTGATGGTGTTTACTGATCAGTTGATGGTGTTTTTGATCAGTTGATGGTGTTTTACTGATGATTGATGGTGTTTTGATCAGTTGATGGTGTTTACTGATCAGTTGATGGTGTTTACTGATCATTTGATTTACTGATGTTGATGGTGTTTACTGATGTGTTGATGGTGTTCATCAGTTGATGGTGTTTACTGATCAGTTGATGGTGTTCACTGATCAGTTGATGGTGTTTTACTGATCAGTTGATGGTGTTTACTGATGAGTTGATGGTGTTTACTGATTTGATGTTGATGGTGTTTTACTGATCAGTTGATGGTGTTTACTGATCAGTTGATGGTGTTTACTGATCGGTTGATGGTGTTCACTGATCAGTTGATGGTGTTTACTGATGAGTTGGTGATGTTTACTGATGAGTTGATGGTGTTTACTGATGGGTTGGTGGTGTTTTTTGATCAGTTGATGGTGTTTACTGATTATTTGATGGTGTTTACTGATCAGTTGATGGTGTTTGCTGATCAGTTGATGGTGTTTACTGATCAGTTGATGGTGTTTACTGATCAGTTGATGGTGTTTACTGATCAGTTGATGGTGTTTACTGATCAGTTGATGGTGTTTACTGATCAGTTGATGGTGTTCACTGATCAGTTGATGGTGTTTACTGATGAGTTGATGATGTTTACTGATGAGTTGATGGTGTTTACTGATTGATGGTGTTTACTGGTGTTTATCAGTTGATGGTGTTCTCTGATCAGTTGATGGTGTTTGCTGATCAGTTGATGATCAGTTGATGGATCAGTTGTTTACTGATCAGTTGATGGTGTTTACTGATCAGTTGATGGTGTTTTACTGATCAGTTGATGGTGTTTACTGATCAGTTGATGGTGTTTACTGATCAGTTGATGATGTTTTTACTGATCAGTTGATGGTTTTACTGATGAGTTGATGATGTTTACTGATGAGTTGATGGTGTTTACTGATGGGTTGATGGTGTTCACTGATTATTTGATGGTGTTCTCTGATCCATTGATGGTGTTTGCTGATCAGTTGATGGTGTTTACTGATCAGTTGATTGTGTTTACTGATCAGTTGATGGTGTTTACTGATCGGTTGATGGTGTTCACTGATCAGTTGATGGTGTTTACTGATGAGTTGATGATGTTTACTGATGAGTTGATGGTGTTTACTGATTGGTTGATGGTGTTAACTGATCAGTTGATGGTGTTTACTGATCAGTTGATGGTGTTTACTGATGAGTTCAAAGTATATGCTATATTTTCAGGTGTTGCAGTGACAAGGAGAGAGTGATGAATGTAGAAGAAAGTATATCTTTTGTGTCGCCTGAGGTTGAAGCAAGTTTTCTTGTCAACATCACAGCTGAAGAGTTTTGGGAAGAATTCGGGGATTTGAAGGACAAGAATCTCCTGACAGTACAAAATGATGTCTGAATATGAGAATGTTTCTGTTTAGTAAACAATAACTATAACTAAACCTTAGTTGTGGCATTGATATTTTGTCCCTAGTTTTTTATTAATTAATCTGTGTTCAAATAATTTATATTATACATGTAGGTAACACAGGGCCAATTGTGCCACATTTATTTGTTGACTGTATACAGTATGAAAACAGTTTTGCCTCAGAAAGCTCATAGGTGACATGACTTTACAATTAATGGCTGTGTGTTTGTGTATGATGACGAACTTCTGTGTTCGAGTGTGTTTATGTCCTATACCTTGTTGTGTATACGTCCTATTTATGAAATACACTTCGCTCTACCACCATGTATAGTGTAATAAAACACACTTTTGCCCTGAACTATTATAGTAAAAGAAAGAGGACGCGCTTGCGTCCGAGTGCTTTTACGTTATAATAGTTCAGGGCAAAAGTGTGTTTTATTACACTATACATGGTGGTAGGGCTTAACTGTATTTCTTTTCTAAGATGCCAAATTTAATACTTTCTAAAGATAATTACGATTAATTTAAGGCAGAAAACAAACGACGGTGTCGGTGACCTAAATTAAGAATCCTCGCACAGGGCTAACTGGCGCGTTCTATTGATGTGTCTGCCCCTACGTTAAGACGAACGTTACCAGAAAAAAACAAATGATAACAGTTTGATGACGGTTTACGTTCGGATTAAATATCTTCTCTGAATTATTTTAATTACATCTGTCATTAACGTAGACCATATGGAGCAATATGAACGTTGAATTTCTACTACCAGCGTAAATTTAGATCAGTACATCCAGAGGAAGTTGAGTAGTCAAGCGACATTCCACAATTGCATTGTGGGAATGTAAACATTACGAACGTTACCGTGTCGCTGAAAACATGTGAGTCGAAATGACACATTTTAACCGTCGTAAAACATAAACGTAATGTTTCCACCAGTGATGTTAGCTGCGTGAAGCAACAGCAAACCAAGAAACTGGATGCAACGGTGTAATTTACTGTAGGAGGCCGTACGAGGCGATGACAACTGACATGCATCGTGACGTCGCTTACATTGTGACGTAATGTAAAATGGTTCGATTACGAGGGGGCACACTAGAATGGCGCAGTGACAGGATAACGTCATTCAATTGTTACGTCATCAAAAAACTATACCTTTATTGTCTGATAATGTATTTTTTGTTCGATTGTTCTAACCGCTAGGCATCTTAGAAACCTTGTTACAGTGTTTTAATGTTCCGTGTTTCGGAGGTAGAAGTAGGGTAAGGTTCACACAACATGCTGGTGGAGTTACATCCATCAAGTTGAAATGATATTGTTGTTGGAATGTTTATTGTAGGGGTAATTTTCAGTCAAGGTTTTACTCCACCATTATCTCTGGTCTTACTTGGTGTCCAGAAAAAAGTGTGTTGTGAAAGAAATGTTTGTTCAACTGCTACTTTCACAAAAGACAATGTACCAACAAAATTCCAGATCTCCCTGCGAAGACTATTAATGTCTGTTCCTTATTTAAATTATTCAGCAAACACAAATGACATGCTTCATACAAGAAGGTATAAGTCCAGTGGACAGTGTGTGTGGTGGTCAGTCGGTGGCAGTCAGGGCTGATAATTAAACAGTTTGAAAAGTCTATGAAATCCATTGACTGTGCTTATGAAGTATAGGGTTAAACATTCATACACTTGTCAATTGTTTAAAGTGCTACAATAGATATATGACAACCAACTGGTGTTTACTTGGGTTTTCTTTCACCGGGAGTTTGACGGAATGATGTTGAATGGTATCATTCAAACAATTCATGAAACTGGAGCATTAGAGGCTTGTCCTTGACCAACTCTCTGGAACTTCATCATCAGTGCAGACTAGTGTGAAGCATTAGAGGCTTGTCCTTGACCAACTCTCTGGAACTTCATCATCAGTGCAGACTAGTGTGAAGCATTAGAGGCTTGTCCTTGACCAACTCTCTGGAACTTCATCATCAGTGCAGACTAGTGTGAAGCATTAGAGGCTTGTCCTTGACCAACTCTCTGGAACTTCATCATCAGTGCAGACTAGTGTGAAGCATTAGAGGCTTGTCCTTGACCAACTCTCTGGAACTTCATCATCAGTGCAGACTAGTGTGAAGCATTAGAGGCTTGTCCTTGACCAACTCTCTGGAACTTCATCATCAGTGCAGACTAGTGTGAAGCCAGCTACTGTAATACTCAATAAGCCACTCATTCATCTCTCACCATTGAAGACAAGATTGTAAAGCACCTTATGGACACATGTACCATTGTCTGACTGAATGGGTTACTTCCAGGTAGAGCTAGATATCAGTCATACAATATACCCAGATGTATTCTGTTACAAGAATAGCATATGTACTGCTCAAGGAATTTAAACAACACCTGTTTGTTTAATATGATGATGATTAATATGCCATTGCTGGTCGGTCTTGCAACACACAGCCTACCAATTGTGGGTTTCTTTAGCTTGTTTTGAGAAGAACATATAGTAGCTAACCAGTTGTACAGGGTGAGCATACATAGACTTCCTAGGAACTTAGACGGCAACAGCAAGTCTAGGTAAATTAACAAAGACAATATGTTTAGATTGCGTAGATTAACCACACACTAGATTAAGCATAGCCTGTGTGCTGCCTGCTTTTATTGAATACAGGACCCGTTAAGATCCGGGTTAGAATTGAACCATGCTTGTTGTAAGAGGCGACTAATGGTATTGGGTGGTCAGGCTCGCTGACTTGGTTGACACATGTCATTGTATCCCATTTACGTAGATCAGTGCTCATGCTGTTGATCACAAGATTGTCTGGTCGAATAGTTACAGACCGCTGCCATATAGCTGGAATATTGCTGAGTGTGGCGTAAAACTAAACTCACTCACTCACTCATTGAATACAGAGGTAACTGAGTTTCGTGGACAATGTTATTTTTTCATTAAGTCATGAGTTACATGGTATTAATGCCAGATTAAAATTTGTTTCAATAAAGATATTTCATTTAAATATTTGGGTTTATGTAAGAAAGTATTTATAGTTCAATATTTTCGTCATTATTTAATGTGATAAGGTATATTAAATGAATAACTACCATTAAATATTTTACCATTAAACAGTTATTAGATACTACTCAACTTTTCATGAGGATACTCATATATGACATATAAGAAGTTGTATGTATCATGGAAAGTTAAAAACATCCCTATCAACGTTGGAGTAGTATGGTATCAAGAATGCCCGTCAAGTGTAACCGAAAGGTGTAATAACTATATATATGTGTTCAGACTTAGGTTCTTAAAGATACAACTATTCATGATATGTCATATTTTGATGTAAATAAATCATTTACAAAATCTCTTGTTGTGTTTTTTAAGAGGAGGGCATGTGAATACATGTTGATTTGACACCACCTGCAGCACCGGCTAAATAAATTCAAGAATTAACATAAGTGAACAGAGATACGGTGAGATGTTGACATTAAGACAGATTGTGTTATTGAGTTAGAGGGGGATTCTCTTCTTTGAAACCTAGTGAGAAGGCATGATATTCAGTCAGTCAGTCAGTGAGGGAGTGAGTGAGTGAGTGCCACCAACACAAGAAACCCCAACGCCACCACTACAAAACCCAACACCACCACAAGACCAAGATGTCCCACCACCACCACTACAAGAGACCCCTCCACTACAAGAGACCCCACCACCAGTACAAGAGACCCCAACACCACCACTACAAGAGACCCCTCCACTACAAGAGCTCTCACCACAACCACTACAAGTTGGTTGAGAAGCTGGTGGTTGTTGACAGCGGTACTATGTTATCCCACACGTGTTCGATGGGTGACAAGTCTTGACTGTGACTTGGTGACGGTAAGGTGGCTATGTTCTCCTGTCACAATACGTGCTCTCTGTGCTCTTACGGTGTCCTATTGATACACTAAACGACACCCATATTGGCGTGCAAATAGCACCTAGTGTGGCTCCAGGATGTTGTCTTGGTAGTACTGCCCAGTGCCATGTCCATGAACAAGATGTAAAAGTGTTCTGCCAATCACAGGGATCCCCTCCCACGCCATTACTTAGCCACCCCAAAACGATCGTTCAGTCGAACGTTAACAGCTTGAAAATACTCTGTCGTGCCTGTCAAGGAAGTCCGAAGTGTGTCTTGATTCATCCGAAAACATAACATTTCCAAAACGACTATTGGCCCAGCGCTATCACTCTTGACACCAACGACGTCTTGCATTAATCTGTCGGTCCATCAATCGTGAGACAACGGGCGTCGGGCATCAAGGTTCTATCTGTGTAGCCGATTACGAATCGTCTGTCCACTCACTCTAAAATAGGCAGTTTGGCATGGTTTCCTAACATAGTCGTTGTATGGAAACGGTCTTGTGCGACAGATCGACGTCTGTCCTCAACGTTATTTGTCTGTCGATATCTTGAATGTTATCTGCTAATTAGTGACTGTGAAACGTTAAGACTTCGTCTTCTTCGTACTTCCTGCAAGCCAATTTCACTCAGCCGTTCCTGACGTAACCGACACTGATGTCTTCAGTTTAAAACAGTATCAGAACAAAATTCAGTCTGGATTTGATCACTGAAATATACAACGACACACTGACACGTTTCACTGTAAAATTCAAGTTCTACCCCGACCATCTTGCAGGAAATTAGCATGTTTGCACGAAATTCATCAAACGTTGTGAATGGAATAATCGTTTTCCAGAATCCATAAACAACCATATCACTTGGTTCGCAAATACTATCACCCCGCAACTGAATATCCCCTACTGTCTAGATAGTATAATGTATTTTAACTGAATCATAAGTAACACATAAAAGAATACGTGATATTCGTCTTCTATACCTTGATCACACGAAGGACAGTTTCCCCGCATATACCATATTTTGGCCTCCTACCGTCATTATTTCTCTACGAGGATTCTCCTACTCTTTACTTGACTAAAATAGCTTCGAAGCTTTAATTATTTATTTTTAAATCACGTTCCTGTTTCTAACAAACATTTATATTCCCTATGAAGGTTATATCTTGAACAGTTATATGGGTAATTACCCATTTTTGATAAAACATATTTACAGCATAATTCTTCAAAATACCTCCTATTATTCTGTCTCTGTTTGTGACAACCACACAAATCGAAACCCATTGGAGAAGAGTACATATCTAACATATGAGGACCGCTGCATCTGTTGTACATCATCCTACCCCTATATCTCTATAATGTGTATTAATATCATATTGTCCCATCTTCATCCGGTTACATGTACGCAGTTTT